TTTCCATGATCGAAGTAAGATAGGTCTCTATTAGACAACCATCCGATCTCCATGGCTCCACGAGATTTTATTTCCACATTGGAAATTAGGTAGATCTCTATTGGACATCCATCTTATCTCCATGGCTCCACGAGAATTTTATTTCCACGTTCGAAATCAGGTAGATCTCCATTGGACATCCATCCTATCTCCATGATTCTCCACGAGATTTTATTTTCACGTTGGAAATCAGGTGGATCTTTACTAGACATCCATTCTACTTCAATGGCTCCACGAGATTTTTTTTCACGTTGGAAGTCAGATAGATCTCTATTAGACATCTTATCTCCATGATTCCACGTTGGAAATCATGTGGATCTCTATTAGATATTTATCCTACTTCCATGACATCATGAGATTTTTTTTCCATGTTGGAAGTCAGATAGATCTCTATTAGACATCCATCCTACCTCCATGATTCCATGAGATTTAATTTCCATGTTGGAAATCAGATGGATCTTTATTAAACATCCATCCTACTTCCATGATTACACGAAATTTTATTTCCACATTGGAAATCAGATGGATCTCTATTAGATATCCATCCAACCTCTATGGCCGCACGAGATATTATTTCCACGTTGGAAATCAGGTAGATCTCCATTGGACATCCATCTTACCTCCATGATTCCACGAGATTTGATTTCCACGTTGGAAATTAAGTGAATCTCTATTAGACATCCATCCTACTTCTATGACTCCACGAGATTTTTTCCATGTTGGAAGTCAGATAGATCTCTATTAGACATCTATTCTACTTCCGTGACTCCACGAGATTTTTTCCATGTTGGAAGTCAGATGGATCTCTATTAGATATTCATCCTACCTTCATGATTCCACGAAATTTTATATCCACGTTGGAAATCAGATGGATCTCTGTTAGATATCCATCTTACCACTATGGCCGCACGAGACTTTATTTCCACGTTGGAAATTATGTGGATCTCTGTTAGATATCCATCCTACCACTATGGCCGCACGAGACTTTATTTCCACGTTGGAAATTATGTGGATCTCTATTAGATATTCATCCTACTTCCATGACTTCACGAGATTTTTTTTCCATGTTGGAAAGTGAAGTCATGGAAGTAGGATGAATATCTAATAGAGATCCACATAATTTCCAACGTGGAAATA